CGCCACTCCAGAAGCGGCGATCTCCCCCATCAGGACGGGGCTCGGGGAAGCGCATCCGATGAGCGTCTTCGCCAACTCTGGCCCGGGGAATTACGGCCGCAACCCGTACGTCTAGGGGAAGTGGTTTACATATATAATGCTCCCAAAGCATACGCTCATACCCCGATGGATCGAGAAACAGGAATGGAGTGTGGACGTGAGCGACCCCACGGACGGTTACGCAAATGGCCAAGAGGCGGGCGTCTTCACCAACTGATTCGGAAGAATACTGCCGCATCTTCGCACGTCTTCCTTCTGACGAACGGATTTGGGGACGAAATATATGTGGGGTGCTCTCAGGCATACGTTCGTATCCCGAGTTATGGACATGAACATCCCCGAAGAAAAACGAAAAACTACCAACGAAGAAAGGAGATAAAAAGAGTTCATGAGCGTAGAGACAATGATAAGGCAAAAAAGAGTTGTATATTCTTCGGCTCTACTGGCCGGATAAGTACAGGATCAAAACAAATAGACTACGAGCTACACTACACAAAATTTGGAGAAATGGGCCGGGATCCCCCAGGGATGGTTTCTTCTTCCTCCTCGGGTTCGGGCTCGGGGGACGGGGGCTCTGGGACCTCCCCCCTGGCCCTGGCCTCCTCCCGCCGGGCGTCCCGTCTCAGCTTGCCCACGGCCCGGATCAGCTCTGGGTCTGAGGTATGCTCGGCCAGATCAAATCGGGGGCCCTGAAGAGCGGCAAAGACCGGCAATGTGGCTTTCACCCCCTCGTTGAAGCCAATAACGAAGGAGCTATCCCCGACGTCATACAGGAACTTCTCTGCCAGGGGCGCACTTTCCAGAAGCCGGACCCCAAACCTGAGCCGATCCTTCGGCGCCTGCTTCTGCAGCTCGGCGGCGAATACATCGCCGAAGGCGCCGCCGAGATACCTCTGGGCGGCGATCATGAATGCCCCAGAATTGTGGTATCCGGTGTCATCGACGAGCCACTCAGGGGTCTCGTCCTTGGGAGCGGGGAGGGCTGGGACGAGTTTGAACCCGGCCTTCTCGAGGACCGCGAGCTTCGCGGAGGACTCACGGGCTACCTTCAGAGCGGCCTGCAGTTCTTTATCTTTGGCCGCCAGCTCCTTTTCCTGAAGACGAGCGGCCTCTCTCGCCTTCTTCAGGGCAGCATCTGCTTTGTTCTTCGCCTGGAGGACCTCGGCGTCTCGGGCGGCCTCAGATTGCAGCACGGAGAGCCCGACCTACAGATCAGATGCGGGGGGTGAGACTCCGAAAGAAAAGCATTAGAATAAAAGTGATCAGGCAACACGTGCGGGGCGAGATCTTACCTGAAGAGCGGCGGCCAGGGCCGCGTTGGAAGCTTCCGAAGACGTGCGGGGAGGCATCTCCACGCCGGCCAGGGAGGCAACCTCCTGCCAGACGTCATGCGCCGGACGTCCGGGAGAGGGGAGGATCACCCCTTGCCCCTCAGGGGCCGAAGAACCAGTTCCCCTGGGCCTTTTGGATTTTTTGTCCACTTTCTCCCCCTCCTGGGGATGGACGGCCTGCAGAGGCGCCACGGCCTCGGGGACACCAGAGTCAAGGACCGGGACCTGGGACCCTTGTGCCATCACCGTGGCAATGAGGTGCTGCTCTGCCTCCACGGTGCGACGGTCGGCCTGGGAAGCAGAGGAATTGGAGTCAGCTGCCTGGACGGCTTTGGCCTTGGCAAGGGCAGCGTCGGCCGCGGCGCCCTTCCCCTTCCGGTTCTTGAGGAGCTTTTCGTGATTCATCTGCTCCTGGGTTGGGGGAAGACCTGAAAAAGACAAAGGAAATGGGTTAGATGGACGAACGTCAGTAAAAAATCACCTCGGAGGAGAGGACCGCCCAATACCCCGAGACGAGTGTAGAAGGGGAGATGTCCAAGAGCATGGGCGGTACCTATTCCTGCCGCGGCGAGCGCCTCGAAGGTTAAGAAGTCGTCTAAGGGGCGGATGCCGCCCGTCGAGATCTTTTTGATGTCCTCCTGCAGATCGTTGGTCAGCTCCGGAGATCCAATCTTGGGCGGATAGCCGTTCCAACGCAACGGCAGACGAGCATCCGCGTACCGCACGAAGAAGAACCGATTCTTCCAGTCGTGGATGGAGCTCGGTGCTCCGCTGAACAACCTCCGTTTCGGACGAGCAGCAATGCTCAGGAAGCCGTCAGAATTTTGGGGGGTGAGCCGGTAGAAATAATGGAACAAGTCCAGAGTGGCGGTGACCCCATTGTCCTTGCAGCGGACCAGGAAGGCGGAGACGAACCGATAGGAGTTCGGCATGAGTTGTGCGGGGGCTATCTGGTAAAAACAGAAGAATTCCACGAAGAACGGATGAAGGGGGAAGCGCAGCCCAGCCTCGATGGAGTCCAGAAGCACCATAACCATCCCTGGACGTCTCCTCATCACGTGGGTTGCACCACGCAGGCTGTATACGGACGGAGGGGGGAAGAACACCTTCAGTTTGTTGAGGGCCACCTGCGAGAAGATCTGCTCATGGCACAGGACATTCTTGATCGGGCACAGATGCCTCTCCACATCTATCTTCAGCCCGAGTTCGAATATTTCAATGTCGGAGCCATCCTGGGCTTCAACCCCAGAATCATACCCATCTGGACGCTCGTCCTCACCAGCGGACTCCCGTTCCCCGGCATCAGCCACAGGGTCCACAACATCGAGGGCCATATTCCCTTGCTCCCCCAAGTCGGCACCTTCTTCACCAGGAACCACCACAGCAACCACATCTTGGGCATCCCCGGCCTGGACCGTTCCCACGGTAGAGGCTGAACCGGAACTCCCGGAAGTGCTAGTCTCACCCGAAGAGCGTGAACCGGAGTCAGAGGAGGAGCCCGAAGAAGAACCCGATGAACCCGAACCAGAACTCGATGAGATCTCCATCGAAACCATCTCGGCAAGAATTCAAGACAAAGGAAAGAAGCAGGGGGTGGAAATTACCTTAGCAAGGAGTTAGCCGAGCTTGGATTCAGGAAACTTGAAGAGCTGCAGAAAATCGAGAGCAAGAAAGCAGAAATTGGGAACCCTAATTCAGAGGGAAAACCCAGCATTTATAGGAGAAACACCGATGAAGAAACGAATGAGGGGCTGACACGTGGCAAGGAGCGTATTCCGGCCCACGCGCTGTGCGTGGGATGGGAACGTAATGATGACACTTCCTCGGGAAAATGCGCCGCCGCAACATCAGCCGTCACCTCGTTTCCTGAACCGTCAACGGCTGTCAAGCACCATGACCACGAACGTACGCTTCCACCAGGTGCAATAAACACAAGTACCAAGATACGGACGTCCACTTCGGGGAGGTTCATACTTCCTTATGTCCTGCGCATGCTCAGAACATCAGAAGTGGGGGACTTGTGTTGGGTTAAGGGCCCAAGCCGAGGTCCGGCCCACTAACCCATTTTGCTAGACGAACGTCCAGTTAGAACACTAGGCCAACCCACGGGCCCATGTTCCCTGAGGATGGACGAACGTCTGGTGTTGGGGGACTCAGGCCCAGCAGCTCATCCCGACGAACGTATATGCAGGGACAAGGAGCAGAACCACGGGCCACCAGGGATGGCGACGAACGTCCCCAGGACAAGCCTGTAGTCATCGGGGAAACCCAGTCCGCATGATGAATACCATTCAAGGCCAGGAGACGAACAGCCGATATCTCTCAAGGGTACACTTGGAGCAATCCAACTCACTTCCCGGGTGGATGAACGTCCCCACTAATCCGGCGGGAAACCTAGATTCTGGCGGGAAGTGCATTTAATGCTAAAGATTTGGTAGTTGGGACACCAGCGGTCCACAGGCTGCCACGTCACTACAGCCACCTGCCCATTGGCGGGTATAAATAGAAGCATTTATTTCATTGTAAAGGGTTGGCAACTTTCTATTCTTAGCACTCTAGCTATAGTATTCTTACTCGCAGCACTTCTACTGCCCTGTAAGACGAACGGCCGTCGGAGCCTTAGCGAAAAGTATGGTATTAGGGAGTTATTAAGAGATAATAATACCTAACCATTTACTTGCTACTTGTTGTTATTGATTCATCTCACTTGTTAGTTGGGCTAGTTTACTCACACCTACTCCACTCGAAATCCTTGGGCTTACGTGTTGGACCCGAGGGTTGAAGGAATAAACCTCAACAAGCCCATTAGCCTCTCTTGTAAGCCATAAGTTAGCCATCCTCTTTTATAAAAGGAAGCTAACTTATGAGGAAAACCTAATTAAGGCATATAGTATAGAGAAATCCCTAGCAATAGAATAGTTTAAGCTGCTCTCTCTCTCTAGAGAGAGTGAGCACAGGTTCTTTACACTGTTCGACATTTCCATATCCTTATGTGTTGAATCGGAGCTTTCTATTTGTTTCATCACTGTTCTATGATTGTTTGGTTGTTAGAATTAGGGACTAAAAGATGTGTCGTGTCTACAAGTCATAGGCTTAGGTAAGCCCAAAGCGGGATCAACGAATTATATGGCTTCTCTGGAGGTGATTAATTCAGAGTCTGGTCCTTGGGCGGACGGTAGACAGGAGACTTGTCGTCACACGGTAACCTGTTTTGGTTTGGTCTATTTGGTTATAATAAGTTAAGCCAATTTTGTTAAAAAAATGGGTTTTCTTTTTTTGTTTGTGATGTAGTTCTTCCACTGCATATATTTTTCGGGATGTCCCGAAACCGTCCCAGTTTGTTCCGATTCCAGTTTAAAAGGGACAGAAAAGGACAATGCCCTCTCCCGTCCTGTTCCGAATCGTTATTTTAATTCCGGACAAGTACTGGGACCGTACCCACCCCTATTTGGCCCATTCCCGAAAAAATCCCCCAGCTATGGTTTAACTTCCTCCCGAATCCCGATAGCAGGGTCCGCCCAGGGCAGGGTAGCCAGCCCAACAGCACAGGGCCCAGATATTTGGAAGGCCAAAAAAAAGACTAGTAGTATACTCCAGCCCAATCCTAGCGTCCTAGCACGCCCAAAAACCTCCGCTCTCTCTGTCCGCTAGACTCGGAGCACTGGAACGACAAACAAACGAAGCGACGAAGCACTGACCGACGAAGGCGACAACTCACTGACGAACGCCGCCTCCCATCACCAGTGCCAGCCCGCCACTGGACCACCGCGCTCCGCCTCCTCGAATCAAGCCTGTCCACCGCTCCACCACAGGTCCGCAACTGCACAGTATTGGCAGTAACTCAGTAAGAAACTCACTCACTCAGTCTCAACACATCTACGATTTTCATATTTCTGATTTTTTTAATTCCGAATTACAGAAACTGATTTCATGTTGACTATTGGTTGAATTGTTGCATTGTTGTTGTTTAAAGTAAATGATTAATAGGATTGATAATAAATATGTTTAACAATTAAGATTTAAGAAATTGGTATAGATATATATTTAGGTAACTTGAGGTTCATAAATTATATTATACTATATACTCTTTTATGATTTCATCCTAAATTAATACTGAATTTTAATTTAAAATTTATAAACATGTACAATATTAGAGGAGAATTTCAATAACTGGTAGTAATTATGTTTCCAAATAAATACCCATTCGGTCATGAGAAGCGTCAAAAGAAAGAAGACTTGACAATTTAACCTTGCCTCAAAAAGAAGCTGGAAGAATGTCTCGTTGTAAATAAAATGTATTTTATTAATGACTTCTTTTATTTTTATTGTTCATTAGTAGCTTGTATTTTAACACAATTTACTTGTGTTGGAACTTGGAAAAAGGCCCAAATTTTGTTGCAGAGTCTCCATTTTCTCAGGACCGACCCTTGTCTCATAGTTTTCGTGGTTCAAGCCTTCCGAAATTCTGAAACATGGTTCGTCCCTGATCATCTACGTTGCATTGTTTTTTTGCCGAATATCAATTATCTAATGCTGATATTGCTTGAAATTCTCCTAACAGCCGCAGGGAGATTACATAGAGCTTTACAGGAATAGATACGGCTACCGCTTTGATCACTTCGAGAAGAAACGCAAGAAGGAGGCTCGTGAGCCTCACAAGCATTCTTAGATTGCTCAAAAGGTGCTGTTTTCTACATTTTAAACACTCCTCGCATGCCCATATGGATGCTGTTTCGATTTCTGTTTGAGTTGTGATCCAAGTGTTAACTTTCCTGGTATTGGAACAGACTCTAGGTATCAAGGGTAAGATGATTGCTAAGAAGAACGACCGTGAAAAGGCCTTGATGAAGAAAACGTAAGCTAGATTCTTTTGGGTTCATGTAATATATTATATATTCGAGTTTAACTTTGTAAAATCTGTTTTTTTTTTCACATAGGATTTTTTTTGCCATATAGTATCGGCATTGTCACATTCAATTTAAACATATTGCTATCACTTTCAACAAAAATCATGTCTGGTTTACCACTTGCTGCAAACATTGAAAGGAATGGGTTTTGGATATCAATACTTCAGAGTGTGGGAGAATAAATGTTTCGCCCATGCTTATATTTTATTATGCCGTCATGTAATCAGATTGGCAATGCATGAAGAGTCATCATCAAGGAAAAAGGTTGATGATGAAGTACACGATGGAGCTATTCCAGCCTAACCTCTTGATCGTGAAAGTACCACAAGAGCAAAGGCATGTTATTTACCAAACTTTGTACTTTTCCCCTGTTTCATCTGCAGTATATAATTGCCATTTCTTGATCATTTTAGGTCATCAGCAATACCATAAAGCAAAAGAGGAAAGAGAAAGCAGGAAAATGGGATGTTCCATTACCTAAGGTAATGTGGATTCAACTTGCATGATTGCATCACATCCTGCCAGTAATTTTTTTTATGTTGCCTATGTTTTTTTATTGCTTTTAGCATCTCTCAGCACACATGTTTTATATTGTTATCTGGGACAGAAATTGGAAACTTAATTAAATTGCTATATCTACCTCTCAGGTAAGGCCTGTGGCTGAAGGTGAAATGTTTAAAGTAATCAGAACTGGCAAAAGAAAGAGTAAGTGCTCCAAAATTTACCTAGTTACATACATGCATTTACTTGTTTTTTTATTTGAAGTTCTTTTTTAAATTTTTTATCTTCCTGCTTGATTTATTTGCTATAGGAGTGTCTACGTGTGACCTTGTGTATAGGTTGCTTGATTGTCCTCCTAGACTTCAGGCTTCACATTGTTCTCTGATGTTGTTTTGCTTCTGTATAGATAAACACTCAGTCTAAGTGTGATTGCTTGTTGATAGTGTGGTGTTTTGTATGTTCCAGAAAGTTCATTCTCAACCACCCAACATTTTTTGATAATGTTGTTTTGCTTTGTAATGCAGCCAAACAATGGAAGAGGATGGTCACAAAAGCCACTTTTGTAGGTCCAACTTTTACTAGAAAACCTCCAAAGTATGAGCGTTTCATACGACCCTCAGGCATGCGTTTCACTAAAGCTCATGTGACACACCCTGAACTCAAGTGTACTTTCAATCTTGAAATCATTGGTGTGAAGAAAAACCCAAATGGTGCAATGTATACATCTCTTGGCGCCATAACCAAAGGAACCATCATCAAGGTATAATCTTTACCAGATGCAAACTACCTTTTATCATATATGTGATATGCCCACTATTAAATTTACTAGTATAGTACACCAAGCGATGCATGGGATATTGTTCCATTCTTTGAATACATTTTTCAATGTAGTTAGAATTAATATTACTCTAAATATAAAAATAGTAAATTCAATTTATTAAATAAACATCACCATATAACAGATAATAATAAGAGTTCATTTGGTAGCCCCAACTCACATGAAATTGAGCATGTGATAATTAAAGTAAATTAAATTGAAATTACTTTTCTATCTGAATAACTTGAAGTCACTATAAAGCATCATTTTAGCTATTTTTTCATTTTTTCTTTACTTCATTAATAAAATATATTTCAAATATAATTTTTTCACAATTCAGCAAATTCAGTCCATTCAACCGCTTCAACTAAAATTTCACCGATTTACGCAGATTCAGCCAAATTCAGTGTTACCAACAACTTCTGAGCGTGTTATAAATTCATAAATATTTCCTTATATACAATATTATGTGATACATTGACATCTTCATCATCTTCTTTGTATTTTTTTTGCAACATTACCACACTTGTTATCAAGTGTGGCACCCTGATAACGTCTTCCAATAAGCTCTTCTCTTAAATCTTTAAAAGCATTAATATATTTTCAACAATTTAAAAGCATAGTGACATTGATCATTTACATGAGGTGATACATTATGTTAACAAATACGCTGTCTTCTTCGTACATTTACAGTTTGCCGTTTGTGTGACCTAACTTGTTCAAGGAATAAAGTAATTTGAATACCAATACTACACCTTCAGTTCTATACTCAGCTTTTTAGTTTGAGGTTTTGTAAGCGGTTGTAAAATTAATATATTTGTATTTACAATTTAACGGATTGTAGTATCTCTTTATGATGCATAGATGTTAGACTAATAGTCTGTGCTGCATGTATAAATTATTCCACATGTACATACCAAATTTTGAAGGCCTTTTATACATGAAGATGACGGACTGGCAAGGGATTCAAGGGGTGTTGTCATTAAAAGAAATGAAAGTGCCTTTTAAATTTCGTAGGAGCCTAGGACCACCAACCCAATACTACGAATAATTCTCCGGCCTGGTACAACTAACTTTACAATAATTGAGTAGAGTTTTTATTATCGAGGGCCAACTTGATAAGTCTCTTGAAAACCATCGAGAAATGCCTTTTTTTGAAAATAATCGAGAAATGCCTTTTAATCACCGCCTTCATTGGTTTTATACCGGTTATGTTACAGCTTTTCTTGTTGGCTGGATGCTCTTCTTAAAAATTTTAATTCCTTGAAAAAGATGAAACGATTAATTATAACCCCATATTATTAAACAGATTCATTAAATACTCCCTAATATTTCTTGCATTGGATTACTAAAGCACGTCGTTCTCTTTTTAGCATTTATCAGTAGTTTATTACTCTCTAGCTGTGCCCACTATTAACTATACAGACAATAAATAAAAACAATAATACTTTTCCCAAAATGCTACAGTGTTCTCGCCCAAAATCTCCCTCCCACTATTTTGTTATTATATATATATATATATATATATATATATATATTTATATATAATATAGATTATGCTTCAATTATTGACCCCCACCCTGATTTCAGGTGAACGTCAGTGAACTTGGTCTTGTAACTCCTGCTTGAAAAGTTGTCTGGGGTAAGATTGTTTTTTGTTCTTTTTTCCTTGTTATTATAAGGAGCTGCAAAATGGATGGATTTCCCATTCCATCCTTGAGCTATTTAATCTTCCTTCCATTGAATAAATTTTGTGTATGGATGTTGTTGCTGTTGTGGATATCCAACCTGTCAATTTTTTATTACTCTTCAACAATGGTTTGGATGATAAAAAACTACAATTTAAAAGAGTCCCAAAAGAGTACAAAATCTGTGGATTGGTTGCAACTTCTCACCATCCATACACACAAATGGATGGATTTCATCCAATTCATCATTACTAACAAATGTCTGTATAGCAATCAAATGAATTTACCTTTGGAAAGACAGTAGGAATTCATCCAATTTGAATTCTTTGCCACTCCTAATAATTATGCATGTTTTTCGTGCCTTTTCTTTTATGCAAGTTTCATTTACAAACATGGGGTTATGCAGGGAAGCATGCTCAAGTGACGAATAATCCTGAAAATGATGGCTGCATCTATGCGGTTCTCCTTGTTTAGATGAACAAAATGGTATTGAGATGTTCAATTCTCGGTGCTGCGCCTTCATATTTGTATTGATTGATAGTTTGCTGCCTTAAATTAGTTTTACATTTTTGAGCATCGTGTGACATGACTTTTATGTACTGATTTGAAATAGTATGAAGTAACCACTGATTTGAACAGTTTTTTTATACAAGATTTTTACATGCAAACGGTAATTTTATGTTTACAAGTTTTTTTATATGATTTTGAATTAATTTGTTTATTTTTTACAATGTTTCCAGTTTTCTTCATGCTAGGCGTCATCTGAAGCTGTGTCTCTAGGCGTGCCTGAACCAGTGTCTGAAGCTGTGTGTAAACCCGTGTCTGAAGCTGTGTGTAAACCCGTGTCTGAAGCTGTGGGTAAACCCGTGTCTGAAGCTGTGTGCAAACCCGTGTGTGAAGCTGTGTGCAAACCCGTGTGTGAAGCTGTGTGCAAACGCGTGTGTGAAGCTGTGTGCAAACGCGTGTGTGAAGCTGTGTGCAAACCCGTGTGTGAAGCTGTGTGCAAACCCGTGTGTGAAGCTGTGTGCAAACCCGTGTCTGAAGCCGTGTGCAAACCCGTGTGCAAACCCGTGTCTGAAGCCGTGTGCAAACCCGTGTCTGAAGCCGTGTCTGAAGCTGTGTGCAAACCTGTGTCTGAACCTGTGTGCAAACCTGTGTCTTAACCTGTGTGCAAACCTGTGTCTTAACCTGTGTGCAAACCTGTGTGTGAAGCTGTGTGCAAACCCGTGTGTGAAGCTGTGTGCAAACCCGTGTCTGAAGCTGTGTGCAAACCCGTGTGTGAAGCTGTGTGCAAACCCGTGTGTGAAGCTGTGTGCAAACCCGTGTGTGAAGCCGTGTGCAAACCCGTGTCTGAAGCCGTGTGCAAACCCGTGTCTGAAGCCGTGTGCAAACCCGTGTCTGAAGCCGTGTGCAAACCCGTGTCTGAAGCCGTGTCTGAACCTGTGTGCAAACCTGTGTCTGAACCTGTGTGCAAACCTGTGTCTTAACCTGTGTGCAAACCCGTGTCTGAACCTGTGTGCAAACCCGTGTCTGAACCTGTGTGCAAACCCGTGTCTGAACCTGTGTGCAAACCCGTGTCTGAACCTGTGTGCAAACCCGTGTCTGAACTTGTGTGCAAACCCGTGTCTGGAGCTGTGTTCAAACCCGTGTCTGAGCCTGTGTGCAAACCCGTGTCTGAGCCTGTGTGCAAACCCGTGTCTGAACCTGTGTGCAAACCGTGTCTGAACCTGTGTGCAAACCCGTGTCTGAACCTGTGTGCAAACCGTGTCTGAACCTGTGTGTAAACCCGTGTCTGAACCTGTGTGCAAACCCGTGTCTGAACCTGTGTGCAAACCCGTGTCTGAACTTGTGTGCAAACCCGTGTCTAAAGCTGTGTGCAAACCCGTGTCTGAAGCTGTGTGCAAACCCGTGTCTGAACCTGTGTGCAAACCTGTGTTTGGAGCCGTGTGCAAACCCGTGTTACTAGCAAACCGTTGCACACAGTAAGATGAGGCTGAAATCCCATTCTTGATAAATAAAGATTCTTTATGGAACAACTGTCAGCGATGGTCAAGATGAGGCTGGTTACTCAATTACTTCACATCAAGCTGAAGCTTCCATGTAGAGTTACTACAGTGGATCAGGGTCCATGTTTTTATCGAGTCCAATATCTCATTTAGGAGCTCATGTTATTTTTTCATAGTGAATGTATGCATCCTGGAAATGCCAAGGAAAAGAAAAGGAGGAGTTATTTTCTGTCTTGGTTTTACCACACAGTAATACATATTTTTCCTTAATTTTTTACATATGCTTAGAATCCTTGGTCTCAATACAAAAGAAATATATAAATAAATAAATAGATAAAATGAGTTTGAGCAAGTATGAAAAATAGATTTGTCCAGTATGAACCAATGTTTTGCACTTTTTTTACTTGGCACAATGTTTCCTTCCAAATTATTTGCCTAAAATATTCCGAGCTCCAAATGGACCCATGAAGCTACATGATTTGTAAACATTAGCAATTAGCATGGTTTTGCAGCTTGCTTGGACTTGCTATAACTTCTACCAGTCAACACCTACAAAATCGTTCCTATCTGATTTTATTAATAAAAAACATGTTTGAATTGGTATTAAGTTTGATTCTAAGCAGCTTCAAAGGATTTTAGATATTTTCATTGATTATTACTTTGCCTGAAACTGTTGAATCACTATTTTATCTTTGGCGTTTAACTGGGAACAAGACTTATCAAGAATGGGGTTGGAACATATTTCAAGCATTTGAAAGGAACTCTCGCGTAGAGGGTGGATATGTCGGATTAAAAGATGTAAGATCTATGAACCCATCCATGCATTTTTATTGTTTTATATTAGATATATATGTTATTCAGTTTTTTTTTTGTAAATTACCATGTTGCCTAGACCAAGGTAGTCTTCCTGCAGAGGAACTGTGCACGGTGCATCTGATCCCCTTATGATTTCAAATAATTCTAAAATAAGAATGGTTAAGATGAAATTGCTAGAAATTTACTCCAATATTCTTATAAATAAGCTCTCCCAACCAAACAGAGCTTATTATTAACAAGTAGAAAAACTTATAGCTACCTTATAAGTATAAGTATGGGTGGACCGGTTCCGCTTCGGGCCCGGTTCGGGCCTGGGCCCGGCCGGGCCTTGGTTCAGAAATGGGAGGCCCGGAACCGGCCCGGGTAATCCCAGGTCCGGGCCGGGCCGGGCCTCGGTTCTTTTTTTTTTTTTTTTTTTTTTTTTTTTTGCTTTTCCTAATTAACCCCCAACCCTCCCCCCTCACCCCCAAACCACCCCAAATGGCCCAAAATACCAAGCCCAACCCAAAAACTTAAAAAAAATTCCAAAAAAAAAAATAATTTGGCCCGAACCGGGCCCGAACCGGCCGGGCTGGTTCGCCAATCAAAGGGCCCGGGCCGACCCGAACCGCCCCCCCGGGCCGGGCCGCCCGGCCCGAGTCCATCCCTAAGTATAAGCTAGTTTTTGTCGTGCCAAACAAAAGCTTGAATTAAGATAGCTAAAGGCATTGAGCTGTAAACTAGCTGAAAGCTGACAAGACAATTAGTTGACAATTGGAAGTTGTAATTGGTGACAAAAGTGTTTGGTAAAATAAGCTAGAGTGACGAATTGATGTAAAATGACCTAAAAAGCATTCCTTGTATTGCTTACAGAGAATAAATAATGTATTGTTATTTTTAAGGAATATATTTTGGTCTTTAAAACTTGATCATTTTCATATATGAGTTTGAATGTGCTGACAAAGTGTAGAAGTTTTGGCTGCCTTGTGAAAATTTATAATTAAAATATATTTTATTTAAAAAGTGAATAAAAACTTAGATGGAAAAAAGTCAAAAAACTGAAATTGTTCTCTTCTGCCAAGAAGTACATTCAACACACACACACATATTAACCAATAACGTGAATACGTGACAAAAACTAAGAACTAGTTTTGTATACGCTCTAGGAGATAGCTATCAAATACTACGTATGTGCTTATTTTTAATTCTTAATGTAGCTTAGTTAGAGAATAAAATAAACTAGAAGTTTAGTTCTTCACCACCTACAGAGTTCCTTATGTGCTCTGGCTTTTCACAGATTAACACCGGTGTCAAAGCTTCTTGCTTGCAGAGACACTTAAATATCTCTATCTTCTTTTTTCTCCGCCTTCTGTGATTCCTCTTGACCACTGGGTTTTCAACACAGAAGCCCACCCTCTTAAAATTGTTTCCAGGTATGATGACCAAACAGTGACTTCTGGACATCACATACCACAATGCAAGTCGCGCAGCAGGAGAGAAGGGCAGTTTGTCAATTAGTAATTCAGTAGATATACGGAACTCCATGTTGATCTTTTCACAAACCATAGATCTAATTGCTTTGTTGTATACGAAGAAAGCGTTTGATGAACCAAAGGAAATCATGTGAAAAATAATGCTAACCTCAGCTTTCCAGATTGGTGGGAGTGTACTGAAATCCCTAAGTAGGTTGCCATTTGGTTATTGATTAATTCTACCATGGAAGGAAGCTGAGGTTTATGTTAACACCGGAGACAGAAAATAGGCTTATTCAACATTGCGTTATTGAGATTTTTGTGTTTTTTTTTCTTTTGGTGTTGTGGTTAAATGTTTGTGTTCTTTCCCTTATTGTTTCCACAGTTTATTCCAATTCCTTAAATTTGTTAATAGAACTAGAGTTCTATTAACTGTGACCTTTAAGAAACGAGTTATGTTTTTTTCAGTTCACACTACATTTTATAAATAAAGCTCCACTCCATTGATTCTTAGTTTTCTATTTAAAAGAAAAAGACGATTTAGTGCTGAAAATGTATTTTTATATAAATATATAGAGTTGATGTCTATATGTTGAGAGCCCATTTGGTAACACCAAAATCGATTGTATTGACTGATTTTGCTGAAATTTATGATGCTCTGTCTGAAGTGGTTGAATTGGCTGGTTCTGCTGATTTATGGAAAAAATATTTAAAATATATTTTGTTAATAAAATAAAGAAAAAATTATATGAAAACATCTAAAATGATCAACTACAATAATTTCAACCAATACAGTCAGAAAAATAACTTCAACTTTACTTTTTCTTATTGTTATAAAATTCAGTGTGTGAAATCAAAGTTACTTGTTTGGTGAAAAAATTTGCTGATAAGTTTGATGAGCCGAAAAATAGTCACCAAAATGGCTCTGATGACATATGTTTGACTTCCATATATTGTTCTATCCAATAGGTATATACTTATATGTAATTGTTATATTTCATTTGGAAGCTTAAACATATGGGTCACCTAAGGTTACAAAATGAGTGAGGGGGTCATCAAAGATTTGGAAGATGTGGGATGTGAGTTAAAGATTGGGAGACTTATTGCTAGAGAAGAATTGAGACTTAACACAAAAATAGAAAGGGTTTTAGATGGAATAAACGGGTTTAAAAAAGAGTAAAAGTGTTGATCATAATGTAATCGAGGACAGAGAAATAAGTTTGAGTTGTGACATTGTAATACCTGCTATTTGCCCCACTACTATTATTCGTACAACTATAGTGAATGTTGTTAGCCTGGCTAGGTGTCTGGTGGCAGAAACAAGATGTTAATATTAAGGATGTCATGGTGTTTACTTATTTTACGGGGGATTGGGGGCCAATTTTTTTTTTATACATGTATATAACATTTTTTACTATAAAGATCTGCCTATGTAGGTGTCGTTCTGCTTCACTATGCAGCTAGAGCATGCCATTGACAACATTAATAATTATATTTATACTAATCAAAGCAATGTTAAATACAAAAAAAGTAGAGAAAATGAACAAGGTTTTAATCAGACTGCTCCGGGGTACGATCATCCCTATAACAACACTCATTCAACTACCAATAATGTGTAAAAGTTTTTTTTTTTTTTTTTTAGAAATTTAGACTAATACAATGCATGACCAGGACCTCTTTCCCTTCGGCCGCTGTTGTTCCTGATCCAAAACCTTAATTTTTGGTCCCAATCCCAGTTCGAAAAGACGAAAACCGGCTGATCCCGTTCCAGTCCCGGGCTGTGTCCACCGCTAGGTACACACTTAAATGCAATCTATAAATTTGTAATTAGTAGTGCGCAGCATACTTACACCGAGTCAAGATTATAGACTTAGGATTAATAAAATTGAATGAGGAAAATGGACAACTTCATGATAATTTCGTAATTTGTTATCCCGTGCAACACACGGGTCAAGACTAGTTTTATAAATAAAGCTCCACTACATTAATTCTTATTTTTATTACTCTCTTGTAAGGACTAGATTCTTACCCGTGCGATGCACGGATGATAATTTACCCACACGTGATTAAGAACTTTATTATAAAAATGCGTAAATAGTTGAAACTACAAAGTGGTAAGTAATATAATATGTGTTCATTTGGAGTCGGTTTTGTGCATTTTGAAGAACCGAAAGGAATTTCAAAGAGTCGAATGCTGATTATCGACTCTGTAGTGAACATTTCTGTACCATAAAAGAACAAAACACAAACTCATTTATTTCAATGTAAAACACAAATATTTTTTTCTCTAGAAATGAAACTTAAACATATAAATAAATGTTACACATTTTAAAATTACAATAAATCCATAGCCCACAAAAATCCACTCAACCAAAATTACAAAACATTTGCTTCGTTGTTATAAGTAGATAAGTAACATATAATAAATAATCGATAAAAGGATTTTTTTTTTAAAAGTAAAATCATCAATAAAAGGAGTGAACAATAACAAATAAAAAAATGTTAACAAAGTTTCGCACCTTATTATTATTAAACTAAAAATGTTGACAACTTAATTGGGATTATTTGGGCTTGGCTTTAAAATCAAATAGACAGGTTGAATTGAAACCAATAGGAGAGAAGATAGTGATAGAGATAATGACACAGATAATTCTAGAGCGACGAGGGAAAGGACTTATAGAAATTAAAAATAAAAAACCGGAATCTTTTTTAGATTCATGCACGCGCAGACACTTCATTCGTTTTTTGGTCCGCCAAGAACTTTTTGTAAAACTATTTTTAGTGTCCTTCAAGAATTGACCCAACAACAAAATTCAATACGTATCATTAAATGCCTAATTACCTAGCCTACCCAACAACCCAAACCCATCCTATATACTCTCCAATTTCGACAAACCCCTACCCTACTAACCATTCTGAAGACTCATCGGTTAGAGCATACATGACATGAGAAATAACCAATTTAAAAACAATAAATAGAATATTTCTCTCCTTTGAATGATCTTACATCATTTTGGTAAGTTTTTCTTCACAATGTTAAGCACAATGTCTAGATGTAGACATTGTGGTTGACATTGCAGACAAAAACTTACCAAAAACACATACGACCGTGGAAAGGAGAGAGAAATGTCATAAAATCAATATTTTGTGTCTATATCTCTCATACCACATATGCACGTGCACATTGTAGCATTGGAGATGCTCTTAGAGATTCAGACTGATGGTCTGCAAAACTTTCCATCTACCGCATACTCATCGCTTAGCTTTCGTACTCATGGAACATTTGCCGGCCGTGTGAGTGCGGTTGTTCGATTGTCAGCGTTCGTCGAGCTGTTGAAACATGATGTTCACCTCACAACTATCATTGTCTGCGGATTCCACCGCTTCTCCGACCAAATTCAAAGCTCTAGCGACTACATCCCAGTCGTTTGGTATAGATCTTTTCCTATTTATCATCCTCAATTTTTGTTCAAATATATCATTTTCGTGAACATTTCTTCTGAAAATATATGTTTTTGGTGATGCCTATTTTCGTGCACAGTGCATGCCTATTTTTTTTACCGATCTTCATGCCTTTGTTTGACAGTTTCAGCAAACATGCCTATTACGAAACGATTTTGAATGATTTTACCCAGATCTGTAATCAGTTCATTTCTTAATTGAGGACTACAAAAATCGCATCGGTTAAATTATTTAAGGCCAGATCTGTGAAAATATCAGATATGTGTTTAATGACCGAGAACATGATTTGTTTTTCCTTTTTAAACGGACCGACATTATTTTTCGTTTTAAACACGTTTTTTTGCTTAAAAAAACAGTACGTGTTTAAAACGCGTTTTAAACGGAAAAAAGCTAACTACCGGAAAACAATAAAAGTAAAAAATGAATAATGGAAGTTTAAAAAACAAAAGGGATAAATGAGGAGCATGATTGACTTAATGAGTTTTGATGGTCCCGGAGAAGGGTAAGAGTCTAGAGGGGGGGGGGGGGGGTGAATAGACTCTTAAAACTTTTCTGGAGTTTTACCCCTTTAGTTGATCTATAATCTTTTGAGAGATTAATAGATGCACAGCGGAAGTTTTTAATCTTTGGGAACGTGATATGACACAACTTTCTTATTTGGATATGCTATTAGCAGTTATCTTGGTAGTTGACTGAATGATAGTGTACTGCTGAGACTACTGCTGTGTAAGAGAGTAGGAAACTACGGATGAAACTGCTTAGATGACTGCTGAGATATAGGAAAAGATTCTGAAAGTGATATGAGCTGATTTCCTTTTTGTGAAGTTCAAGAGATATGAAAATGTGTGGGCAGTAGGGTCAGCAGCTGACTGGACAGTAGGGTACTGCTAAGGCAACTGCCAAGGCAACTGCTTAGCGGATATTTGAGTTGTGAAGATGTTGTGATTGTGATATTGCTTGATTTGAAGGTAGCTTTATACTCGATAGAGTTTGAGTGAATTTGTTGAAGCAGTATGCTTAGCAGTTAAGTGAGTGTGAGTGAACTGCTGAGGTTCCTGCAGTGTACTGCTAAGGCAACTGCTAGAAATGAGAAATTTTTGTTCAAGAGATTATCTCAAGGAGAGTGAGTAATTAAGCAGTAGGATAAGCAGTAAGGTCAGTTAAGACTACTGCTTAGGATGCTGCTGGCAGACTACAATCCTTTTGTGAGAAGAGTTTGGTGTGTGCTTTGTTAGCTTATAAGTAAATTGACGCACAGTGTATCCTGGTTCAGAGGTGGTGTAATCCTCCTACATCCAGTCCCATTCTCTTTCAAATGGATTTCCACTAAAGTATTCAGCCCAATACACTTAGTGTCAATCTAGCCTTTACAGCTCTTAGGCCTAGATTGAAAGGTGTTTCACAATGAGTATTTACACTTCTCAAAGTTACTCAATCCTTTGGATTTTCTCAATTGATCCAGTGGGGATCAAAAGGTACTCTATCTACACTTTAGGATATGAACAACCGTTCTCCTAAGTGTTTACAACAATTTAATACAAGAAAGTTCTAACCTCCAACTAGATGCTAAACTTCTAGAATTTTGATGGATGTTTGAGACTTGGAAGTTTAGTGAAGCATGAGTCTAAGCAGAGAGTAAAGTTAAATGTGCACTTTCTCTTTTGCTAGATATCTCTTGTATGCTTAGAGTGATTACTCTACTTAGAAAACTCAAAAACTTGGTTTTAGAACTCATGCTTATGCCTTCTTTTATAGGCTTCTCCAGTAGGTTGATCTCCTCCGTTGGTTGAGAGGATTCAATCCTATTCGTAGAATGAGGTGTACTCTTGTTTTCTTGTGCTGGAGCTGATATTGGAAATTTCCTTTGTCTTCACTGATTAGTAGCTAGAAGATCAAGTCAATGTTCAATCTTCATGATTTGGTGTGTGCGACCCATCTTCTTTGGTCTTCGTACTGTTGGGCATTTAATGCTTTTCTTGTCTTTGTCTTCAATCATACACATGCAGTGTATGTGTGTGTGTATGTCGTATTCTATTTTATTATGTACCAAATAAATTTGTACTGGTAGGATCAAAGTATCCTTCTAAGGTAAACAAATTTTACCTTATTGTAGTTTTTAGTTTCCAGTAAAATTTATTTGGTACAGAATTAATTTGTCATTTCTTGATTGGCTGATTATGTGACTTGATAATTTTATGTACTAAATAAATTTATACTGGTTGGATCTGAATATCCTTTTAAGGTAAAAAGAATACCTTATTGCATTTTAATTTTCCAGTAAAAATTTATTTAGTACAAAAATTGTACATTTTAATTGGTCACAGTTTGAGAGCCTGATCAACCTTTAATTAAAGTGAGAACGCAGGACATATTGACTTTTAGTATAGTGGCATCATCAAAATCTTATTAAAATTGGGTACTAACAATTTCCCCCTTTTTGATGATGCCAAAACTATACTAAGCAGAAAAGAGGTTTTCTTAATTGAAATGAGAATAGTTACAAGTGTTTTGCTACTACAGTAGTTTATAGTCATTCTCGGACTTATGATTGAGTCTATTTGGGTTGCTTGTCTTCTTCTTTCTTCTTGGCTTCTTCTCTTGCCTTAGCCTCTTCTTCTTTTCTTTTTCTGATCTCAGCCTCTTCTTGTAGCAGTTTGTTCTTTCTTCTTGTTTCAGCGGCCTTCTTTGCTGCTATCTGTCTTTTAGAGGAGGGTCCTGCTGAGGTAGCTTCCCCCTTTTTGGCATCATCAATATCTTGGAAGAGGGCTTCTATTTCTTCATCTGATTCATCTTGTTTGTTCTTAAGTCCATACACTGTGATGGACATTGCATTAAGTGCATTGTTGACATCTTGGAGATCAGTTTTGATGTCTACATGTACTTCTTCTTCTAGCTTCTTTAAGATTTTCTTGGCTTCATCTACTTCTTTTGCCAGTCTCTGGATGTCACATCCCTGCTTCCAGAAGGTTTCTTGAGTGTTCTTTTGAATAACCAGGAAGTTGTTCTTTATTGCTTTGGTTAATTGATCATATGCTTGAACATGAGCCTGCTGCTCACTGAGGAACTTCTGAGAGAGTTGAAGCATGGCAGGGAACTCCTTGTTTTTGAGATAAGTGATGTATTCTTCATGCTCAGTTACCTTTTGAAGTGCCTGTTCAAGAGTGGGAGGAAAAGTTGATGGAGAAGTTACCTGAGCAGAGGAGCCTGCGGCGTGTGATGAGGCTGCTGCTGTTGTAATAGGATGTCTTTGGTGTGTTAGAAGTTGACTGGCCAGTTCATCATTTCTTGCTTTGAGTGCCTCAAGCTCCTTTTTTATTTCTGTAGTCACAGCTTCGTGTTGTGAGATCTTGACTTTGAGGAGAGCTCTCTGTTCAGCGTTGAAGACCTGCTGGATCATGAGGTCATTTCTGATATGCCTGTGGACTTCCTCAAACCGGATATCAAGTCTTTCTTTCATCTGCTTCTGCATTTTGATGAGCCGTTTATGTAATCTGACCTCTGCTTTGCTAATGAATTTGATAGACGCTCCCCTTTCTTGAACGAAGAGATTGGCTAGTGATATAGGATCTTCTTCTTTATCAGCCTCTTCTTCGATACTCGCAGTGGATTGATCAGTAGCTTTAGCGGTGTTTTGTGTGGTAGCCGGAGCAGTATTCTGAGCCAGAGGTGGATGTGTGATTAGAATGGCAGTAGGCTGCTTGCTTGTTGCGTTAGATGATTCTCCACCCCCTTTTGTTTCAAGCTTGGATTCTTCAAGTACTTGGTGCAGTTCTTTATCACTAGATGAGGATGAAGGAGAGTGAATGATTTGTTTACCTCTAGAGTGATGTTGATCGTGAGGGTAGTCTCCAAAGTCACTGTCATCATCATCATCATTGTCATCATCATCTTGGATGGATGATTTGCCAAGCAGTTGGCTCTTCTTGATGGTGTAGACTAGGTTGACATGGTGAAGTTTTGTTGCGGTTGCAAGGTCTTCAGTGCCTAGCCATGCCAGAGCAAAGTCTTCTTCCTCAATAAAGTTAGATAAGGTTTCAGCTTGTTTAAGAATGCGAGATAGCTTCCAACGTCTCCAAGCTTTGACTCTTGCAAAATCTACATCCAACTGTTCGAGGGGAGTTAGGCTGGGTGATCCAACTGCAGGTGAGTGAGGTACTAGTTCATCTAGATGAGCCACCTGCTCTTCTTGTTGTGTCTCCTTGTCCTCTAAGTGAGCCATCTGCTCATGGACTTGAGTGTCATGCTCTAATTCTGGTGGACCTGCCTGCTCAGTCTGTATTGGTATGTTGATGGAGAGAGGAGTGGCAGAGATAGCAATGGTGGCTGAAGAGGAGGATGTAGTCTTTTCTTCTTCTTGTTTGGATCCTTCACTTTCTTCATTAATGGTGGGTAAGGAGTAAGGCTCTGCTTCTTGAGTGAGTGGGAGAGGAGAGGCAGCATCTTCTATTTCTTTTTGCAAGTTTCTGGATGAAGTAGCATGTAACCCTTTGGATCTTTTGGACTGGACCTCTTGGTTTTCTGATCGAGTTCTTTTTAGGGAATGAGTTTTGAACTTATTGAGTTCAGTCTTGAGAGGCTCATCAGAGAGAAATGTGTCTTCTGCTTTTGGAATGTCTGGTGCACCTTCTGTTGATTTTTGAGAAAGAATTTTTCTCCAGTCAGTTGCCTTCTTGACTGTGCTTCTAATTCCCTTCCTTTTTAGGATTTCTCCTATCAGGAAACCATACCCTAACCAAGGTACGGTTTTGTCATTTCCTCGCTCATGGAACTTCTTTACAAACTCTACCATCTCTTGGTAAACATATCTTCCCCAATTCTGAGGAGATCCTGAGATGATGGCTGCTAGAGGTATTGCTCTTTTTCTGTTTAGTTCATCTAGAGCTGTATTTTTGGTGTCGATGCACTTGTAGAGTATGCTAAGTAGGAGAGCATACTCATGAATCATCTTATTGGTTTTGAATTTGAGAGATTTTGTACCTTGAGCATTTGGAAGTAGGATGGTTTCCTTGAATTCTTGCTCGTTGAGTTCATAATTTTCAACAAGTGGAGCTTCTTC